CCCTTACTCCACACTGCCTTGTTGAGACGAGTGTCAATGCGGACATCAGGAGTTCCCATTTCCTTCACTGCGAACTTGCGGATCTCCTTGATGGCGCGGGGAGCACGCTTCTTGAAGCTCCTGCAAATGAAAAAAGGGACAACTTTAATATGAATACAACAGAAAAGAGCCTGATTAGTATTTCTCAGCATGCCAACACTGGGTGAACAACAGCACCGGGCGACAGATAAAAGTCACTGACAAATTAAATGTATGTGACTTATTCCTATTAGACCTATTCTAGGTAAAATAATTTAAAAATGACCCAGACTGTCCAAGTGTTAGTGTGATTATTATTATTATTTTTTAATGATTGTTAACAAACAAATCAGACACTTTAATTTGGAAATTGAAGATCCGTCCGTTCCCCTGATGTTATCTTCTGTACAGCACAAAATACTCAAATTCACCCGATCCTCATGCCCCCTTTTTCTTTGTGGCTGAAGGATCTGTCATTTCTCAGACAAGATTAACAGGTAAATGGTATTTTGGTTTGTGGAAGTTTTTTTCAAAAATGTAATTCTTTCATTGATCATTTTCTCCCTTTCACTGTAGATTAGCACTTAGAAGCACTGTCTATTCACTGAACTACCTTTGTCTCTAGCTTTTATGTCATTTTGTTTTTTAATAGAGAGGCATTATTAGTTTTTATGTGCGCTGCTTTATTGTGTGCCCAGGAAAACAAGGGGACCTAATGTAATTTGAATTTCTATCGTTGATCCTTCTGTCTTCTCTTATATAATACATTTCATGAATGACTAAAATGCTCAGATGTATGTAAAATAAGTTAAAGGAACGATTGCTTTTAGTGCATCCAAACAAAATGTGCTCATGTGGACAGCCGTCTCACACAACAAAGCCACACTGCAGTCGCTTTAATATATTTTAATCTAATCTTCAATCGGTATTTAAACTGTTGTTAATAACTTACTGACCTTTCAAACATTATATCATTAACGATAAAAGTCAATTTGAGCCAGGAACAATATTCCTGTCACAAGACAGAAGCAGATCAGCCTTTTGGCAAAGTGATTTTTAGATAGAGTAAGGTAATTTCTTTATTTATTGTATGACCCCTTCTTTAATGCAGCTTTATACAGTCTACCAACAAAAGCAAATATTTTAAACATACAGATATATCGGAAATCGTTTTTTGGCATAACACCAGCAGTACTTACACTCCATGGATGCGCTTGTGGACATTGATGGTGTACTCTCTGGTCACCACCTCGTTGATGGCTGAACGCCCCTTCTTTTTCTCTCCTTTCTTTGTTGGGGCCATCTAGAAAGAAGGGGAAAAAAGACACGCATACTTAAGTTTGAGTCCGCTTTCAACACAACTTAAGCTCGACACCCGAAGAAAAGCCTGACGCTAGCATACAGCTCGTATGCTAGCGTTACTAACAGTTACTTACTCAAGCCAACATGTAGCTTAAATAAGAAAATAAATGACATAAACGTTAAAAGAATAACTGTAGTGCTGGTATTATGTTCGTGCTCTGAGTGACAAACACTCCAGCAGTGTGTGGAGAACACGGACAGCCATGCAGCTAGAAACCGCTCCGGTGCTTCTCCTTCGTCGCTTTAAAGTGTCTTTACAAACATTCAGCAACATCAAAATGGTCACATAACAGCAGATACAGTACTAATAAACATTATTACACGATGGATGAACGTTTCTGTGGCTTTAATAGCACAGGATGGTGCTGGATTGTAGAATTATAGTTTCTGAAAAAATTACTCACCTCGGCTCTTAGCTGAGGCGGAAGTCGGAAGGACTGAGCTAAGGTGGAGGGTTGTGGGTAAAGGAAGCCGGTTCGTTTCGAATGAGGCCCGTTAACAACAAACGTAGAGCTAATGGTTCCTAGCATGAAAAATCTTTAAAGAAGTAGCTTTTATGCAAATTGTTGGATGTAACATTTGTCTTCTGTCGAGTAATGACTAACAGTTCTTATTAAAGATATCTACGATTCGCATCATATTAGCAAAAGTATTAATCATTGATATGAATAGCTCCTCACTTATCACTGGAAACTCCATTGTAAGAGTCCTGTAACTTTGTCAACTATTATTACAATACTATTAGAACGTTTCTACATTTCAGTCGGTCGTGTTTTGAGTGCATTTTAAGAAAATTTTAATACATGTTATGTTTTTCAGTACACTTGAAAACAAACGCACAACACGGTGTTCTTATAGCATTCTAACTGTTCCTTACCACATTATCTCTAATACTTTTTCTGTCATCACTTTTGCCGGTAAATTATTATTTCACTCTCAACCTATTTGCACTACTGTTCACGTATGTATTAGCTACCCGAGGTGGCTCAGGAAGTAGAGCCGGTGACCGGTCATTGCCTCAGAAGGTTGGTGGGTTGATCCCTGGCTGCTCCAGTCTGCATGCTTAAGTGCCCTTGGGCATTGAAGTACGGGTTCTTCAAAGTTGAAGTGTGAATTTAACACTGAAAGCACAGGTGTAGAAAATATGTACGTGGATAACTATGACACACTGTGTTAAGTCCTTTCAGTGTTTAGTAGAAACGTGCAAGTATCAGTTGCTTTACCATTAATATTTGTTTGTAATCATACTCCAACTGTTTCGTTCTGTATATATTCCTTGTATGTTGATAATTGTTTTAAGTGTATACCTTTCATATAATTTTTTGATGTTTGTGACTCTACACCCAGTTGCTGTTTTCATTGCACCAAGCAGAGCGGCATCAGAATTTTCCTCTGTATGAACAAAGATTTTATGGCTTATCTTTAAACTCCACGTTGAAAAAGCTAAAATGCAATTTTAGCATCTAGAATCCAGTTTTTATTAGTCAAAGTTCGATTGTTATTAATAATTACTATCAGCAATTGAACTGCTGTAGATACCTACAACTCTTCTCACATTTCAGGCATCCTAATTGAAACTTTAGTTAACATCCAAATTCTACTGATATGTCTACTTGTAAGAATCTCAGATATACTAGAAAGGTAAAATTAATTATTAAAATCACAGATGGTGACAAATATATTTAAATAACTTAAAAAATGTATATCTTTGTTTTCAATATACATATTTTAAGTATATACTACATCAAACATGGTGTTATTTTGCACATGTAAAGAAATGTGAAATTAAACAAATTTTTCCACATAATTGAATTAAGAATGGTTGTAATCATTATTTTTTTCTACTAAAGGAATTGCTGCGCTTATAATTTAAAGATGTGTGTAATCACACAAAATGTCATGTCTACAAGTAAGAATGTTTTTAACACAATCAAATTTTTACACAAATGTCTACAAAAAATCATTACAAATGACAAAATCACTACTACTCATTCATGCTGATTACATTTTTAAAAGCCATATCGTATCTCTGTGAACATCAACTACAGTGTTGTCCTTGTAAAGAGGACAATCGTAACCAGAAGACAAATAAACTTTAATAGTATCATACACTGTTTGTAGTATAAAAACCTTTTCAGGTAATTAAGTCCTGGGTAGTGTAAGTTTTTTCGAAGACAGTTTTGTTTTATAAAGTTTTTTTCATATTTTCCCGATATGAAGGCTGATCTACTTTTTAGTATGACACTGATAAAATGCCAATGCATTAAAAAAAAAAAAATAGTAGTCATAAGACTCCCTCTGTAGACACATATGGAGACAAACTCATAAACCTATCACCCATGAAGTGGTGGTAATTATATGCTAAACTCCAGAACTTACCTCAAAAATGTGTTTGCTTGAAGATTTCATCACGTTTGTCCTTATTTGTGAAAATGTCAATATTTATTTTACAGTAAAAAAAAATTACAGCATTAAACCAGATATCATTACTCGAATATTAGAGACAAGGGCAAAAAGTTTGTAAAAAATGTTTTCTGTAAAACCAGAGTCATGGTCAAACTGAAATATAATGGGAAACGAAGTTCGATGTCTCTGTGTCGATAAAATCACTGATACTGCTTTTCGGCCACTCCTGTTAGTTCTCGAAACCGACCCACATCGTGAACCACAGATTATGTAGCAGATGGTGAATTATTTCCTCAGTGGGACAAGATTTCATGAGGTAGTCCTTTCCTTAGTAAGTGGTCCCAATTTTGGAAACTTTTTATTTTCGGTATTGTGTTATTGTCAATTTCGTTTTGGCAGAAATTTTCAGTGGAAGTCAAAATGTGAAAACTGGGTGTAGGACAGGCGCTGACCCCGAATGGGTGGAGAAGAGGAATCAGATTTCCTGTCATGGAGCTGGATTGGGTGGTGGATCGTGTTGAATCCAGAGCTTTAGGACAAAAGTACTTTGCCCCTTCCTAATCTTTTCAGTCCTTTAAAATTATCCCAGCACACACATAATGCAAATCTTGCGTTTTTTGTTAAGCAACTGTCTCCTGATACAACCACATTTTAAAGGTGCACCTTATCCATCTGTGCAAGACTACCGTGACCTTGTTTAGCCGACTGCATGACAGATTGAAAGTTCAGATTAATGGCTTGTTTTCAGTCATTATTTCCTAAGCAGTACACTGTCTTTTCCTACTGGGAGCGCTTTGGCTCCATCGTGGATGATGTGGGCTTGTGAGAAGAGGAATTCCACTCGTTCATGTTCGTGATCTGGTGATCTGCACTCCCTTCAGTTCCTGTAAGAAAGACACTGCCAAACCATTTAAAGAAACACAAAAAATAAAGCGTGTTTCCACAAACTAAAAGCTTTAACTAATTACATTCAGTGAAGGAATAGCTTGGCAGTGCTTTTTAGTGAGAAATGTTCTTTCAAGTTCCTGCAGGATGTTTCACTGTTGTGAGTCGATAAAATCTGCAGCCAATGCTATAGACTCGCATTCATGTATTATGGTGTAAACAAACAAACAAAAAAACCAGAACAATATTAAGTGTCCCATTATGTCATGGCTGAACAGTCGTTTCATACAAACCAAAAGACCAGTTACAAAAAAAAAATTAAAAAATAATCAACATCTAACCATTTTAATGCACAGTTGTACTAACCAATGCACAACATAGGAAACAAATCTTTGTCAGGCAGGTGAAACTGATCGTCAGAAATCTGCTCTAAAACACTGTAAATCCACAAAAACATGAAGTCATTTTAGGCGTTTTAGATTTCTCATACATGGATAGTTGCACCCCTCCATAGGCCCCTCTCTATGGAACACATCGTGAAAAACAAATAACTGAAAGAGTCCTAACATTGCCGTTTTCCCTCTCATGACTAAAAAGGCTATGAATGTAACGAAATGAGACAGCGAGTTAGGAGTGAGAGGAAGTAAAGGCCTAGAAGCATTCACCTCTGATGTGTTTTACTCTCAGGACACACAGACCTCAGGCTGTGCTGTGCTGAGCTTACTACTACCACCACTACCAGCTTCAGTAATTTCAGCTGCTGGTGCCGACCCACTGTCCGACCTTTCCGGGGCCGATGCCTGACCAGCCATGGTCCTTCTGAAAAGACGCATGCTCATCTGCAGGAGTTCATTGTCCACCACAGGTGTGGTGGGGTCATGCTTGGATAGACCCTGAGAAAAAATAGTTAAGAGTTAAGAGATTTAAGCACATTAATTTAAGATTGAGATCAACATATTGTTTATTAATTTAGGTCTGTAACTGGAGAGCACATACCTTTTCGTTTTTCAACAGTTGCCGGCGGATGGCGAAGTCCCTGCGAGCACACAAGGCCTTGCAGCACGGCCCCAGATTTCTCAATAAACCTGCCCTCTCCACCCGCCTGTTCAGAGCTGCCATATTCAAGGCTCCCAGGTCATGCTCAAAGAGCTTGTCAGCATCTACCAAGATGACGACAACAGAGGTGTAATTGGATCAACAGGAATTTTAAAAAAGAAGCGTTCAGCTTTATTTCTTCTGGAAGAGGTTGTGAAACTTTGTAAAAGGAGCCTGATCCGGGTCAAGGAGTCAGACGAGCTCTGATCAACGACACGCTGAACTGTTGTAGCGCTGCTGTTAGCCAGCATGAGTGAAACTGTCTTTGAAGTGGATGTAACTTTGTTACAGTTAGTGAATAAACTCTCATACAATGTGAAAATGTAACCAAACTGCAAGGTGTGAATTTTAGGCCACTCGAACCTAACATTAGCTGCCACAATGTTCTTGTCATTTAGCCAGCTTATATCAGCTGTCCAGAGACGGTCCCACGTCTAATCTGCTGACAATAACTGCAACAATATCTGGAACACATATGCACATTTAATCACGCTGTCATGTGTTGGACCCCGGCTTCAGTCCGGGAGATGACGCATGAGGAGAGGAGGAAGGGAATGGCAGTTTATTAAGTTGCCGGTGGTGTTATCCATTTCCTCTTCGTTTTGGTTTATTTGGTGACGGGAACCCCTTCTCTTAATGATAAACAGGCATGCCACTTCATATTTTCAGTCTAGAGGTACAGACATGAATTTAAATGTCCCCTCCACAGTATCCAAAAGCCTACGACTTTCCTTCTCTGGCCGATCTCCAACAACATACGTATTCTGCAGAAAATTGTTTTTTCCTTTAATGAGATTGGACTGTTGACTCAATACATCCACTTTTTATGTCCCCAACTCACCTTTGGGATCGTCCAGCTCAGACTTGCACACTTCTTTGACTTGTTCCAGGAGTTCTGGGCCAGCAAGTCTCTTGGATATGCCTGCCCTAAGAAGCACCGCCCCTGGGGTGAAGCGGAGCAAGGCTGCCCCCGCTGCCCGCGGTTCCTGTTTCTGTTTGGGCATCAGGCTGGACCAGTCCACATCTATCACATCCAGAGGACCTGTCGGCACACAACAAAGGCAGAGGCTTCATTTGTTAAAGATCACCGGAGAAAATTTCAACTGAATACTTTGCATTTTCTCAATTTTTATTAATTGTAGAGTTGATGAACTTCAGGCCTATCAGAATTCAAGACAATCAAATAAAAATAAAGAAATAAAGAGGGGAGAGAAACTGATGACACACTTTCATGTGTGTATATATTATCCACAGAATGTCTTTATTGTACCTGTGATTTTCTCTTCTTCTTGCTGATCTTCTTTTTTCTGGCTGTCAGCCAGAATTTCATCCAGCTCATCATCGCTGATTGGTTCGTACTCCTCGCCAACAGATGCCATAGACTGGACATCGTCTTCCTTCCCGTCATCGTCTCCTAAAACCACCACACACAGTTTTCTTAAAATCCTTGTAGGAAAAACAAGAAATGAAAACAAACATTTATGCACGTTTTTATCTTCTTACCATCGATGCTGTCTGCCTTCTCCACCTCCCGTTGATCTCCAGTTAGATGGGGACTGTTGCTCGGTTTCTCGGGCTCTGGAGGACTGAAAGCTTCTCTGGGCAGCATAGGCTCGTAATCCATCCTGTCTTGTCTCATCAAGTCTCCTCGCAAGTCTCCTCTGATGTCCCCTCGTACTGGAGCCCTGGGGTCCCCGTGGGGCGTGATATCCATCATCATCAACCTTTCCCTCTCTCGGTCAACACCTCGGTCACCTCGACTGTCTCTCTCCCGTTCTCTCTCCCGTTCCCGTTCATGCTGCTGGATGAGTCCTTCGGGGAGTAAGCGTTCCCTGTCCCGGATGTCCCGCTCCCTAAGGAGAGGTTCGCGACCAGGACGCATCAGCAGGGGCTCCCGCCCCCGGCTTGGCCATTCAGGCTCCCATTCTCTTGATGGTGGTTGTTGTAGTTGCTGTTGAAGAAGCAGAGGCTGCTGCTGTTGCTGCTGAGGTCGGAGGTCCTTGCGTTCTCTCTCCCTCTCTCTTTCCCGTTCAAATGGCTCCCTTTCCCTTTCTCGTTCTCGACTGTCGTAGGAGCCGGCACGGGACCTGGACCTGGCCTGCCTCTCAGAATCAGGAGAGCTGCGTCGGGAGCTGTGGCTGCGAGAATCCTGCCGGTCTAAATTCAAAAATAAATCAATAAATAAATCAACATAGGTCAAATTCAGCGTGATCCTGGTAGCACAGGATGTGTGCAATTCTGTGTCACGTTCAGGATTCGGGTGAGGCTTTTACCTGATGAGGTGCTACGGCTGGGCTCTCCTCTCCTCAGCTGATCAATCCGGGACTTCCTCTCAGAGCACGGAGGGTCATTCGCCGCCGGCCTCTCGCGGTCTCGCTCCCTCTCCCGTTCTCTCTCTCGCTCCCGCTCTCTTTCCCGGTCCCGAGAGTTGGTGCCTTGAAGTATGCCCCGGCGCGATCGCGGGCCCTGAGGATCTTCTCTGTGGGCTGACTCGTTAGAGGGTGAACGCAGGCGTCGAGACGATGTCCGACTCTGGTTGCTCCCCATGCTGCTGCTGCGCGTCTGCTCTGGTGGGGGTTTGCGGAGCAGCGGTTGGGACATCAGAGGCTGCGGAGGCAAAGTCTGCAGCAGCATTGGAGGATCCTGGGAGAGCAGAGGTGCAATGGGTGGTGGATTACCCCGGCCCATCCTGGGGCCTCCACCTCTCCTGAGAGGTTCAGCAGGAGCCCTATCAGCAGAAACCAAAGGAGCAAGTGTTTCCAGCGAGCCTCCCCGGTCTGTCACCTCCTCATCTGACCAGTCACTGAAATTGTCCATTTTGGAGAGAGGAGAGCGCTCTGTATTCCCTCCAGCGCCTCGCTGATCAGGTCTCATTGAGGGCGGCGGTGTCCGAGGACCCCTCTTCCTCTTACTGTGTGGCAGGTAGGTTGAAGTTTCCTCCTCGGATGCTTCAGACTCCGCCCCTCGCGATCGCTTCCTCTTTCGCTCTAGAGCTTTCTTCTTTGCCCCTTTCCTGGGAGAATGTAAGGGTGGAGGCACGTCCGCAGAAGCCCCAGATGGGGGCTCGGGGTTGAATCGGTCCCCTGCAGCAGCCAGGGCGCTGCCAGCGACAGTCTCTTCGTCTTTGCGACCCTTCTTCAAGCCCTTCCTCTGTGACTTTGTCTTCTTTTTCCCCTCCTCATGCAACTGGGAACCACTGGTCTCTCTGTCTTCAGTGGCAGCGGCAAGGGGTAGATGCGGAGGCGGTGTAGGATCTCTGCCTCTGGTACGCAAGTCAGAAGGCGCGTCTGAGAGGTGCTCTCCACGCCTGTCGGCCCCTCTGCTTCGTTCCCCACGAGGCTCCAGGTCCTCATGGCGACCGCGTGCTTCCCTTTTGTCCCCGACTACCCTGCGGTCCTCATCCTTCCAGTGAGTGGGCTTGTCATCGGATGCGGCAGTTCTCGGCGGCGATCGTAACAGCGCCTCCTGGGGCCGTACCACCTGGCTCAGCAGACGATGCTTGTCCCCATCTGTGTGTCACATAAACACGTTCAGCACTTTTAAAGCATTGGAGTCAAGTACAGAAGTTTTTCCTTGGAGGTATCGGCTGAAAATGCAGTGAAAGGAAAATCTAACCTAAAGGAGCCCTTTGACATGAAAGCTCTTTGATTTTTTTTTCACTTGACAGCCAATGACTCCAAAGCACCAGCACATTTTACAAAGACAAATGAAACTTCAAAGTGTTTACACAGAGCACACACGTTTACAGAAGGATGTGTATCATGAGAAAAGTGCAACCCCCATTAAAATATAAGTGTGTCCTTTCAAAAAGAATTTCCCTACTGTCAGATGGAGGCAGACACACTGGGCTGGGGAGGAGGGGCTGAGGGTGGAGCTTGGCCTGCCCTCGGCCAATCGGGCGCTCACTTTTATCTTCGGCACTATTGTAGTCGTCGCTGTCTGCTGGACTGAGGTCCAGTGTCGTTCGCTTAGGAGAGGATCGGGGACTCTGGCTGCTATCCATCCTGGGCCTCTTACGACTAGAAGGAGAGGACATTATAATAAACGCAGGTCAGTATTTGGAGATTAGCACGATAACGGCTAAATCAAACTAAATCCGAACATTCAGAAAACTTTACTTTGTAAATAATTGCTGGATTATGTGCGGATGACTATTTATTTCATGTAGAAAGTCGCACAAATACACGGATTAAAAACTGACACATGCCTCAACTTGCGATCGTCCCGGCTGTCTCGAACCGGCCGTTCATCCCTGGCGTCGTCTCTCCTCTCCCGCCTCTCCTCCCTTCCCCTCTCTCGAGCCTCCCATTCCCGCAGTCTCTCCCGCTCGCGCTGTTCTCTCTCCCGTTCCCTCTCTTTCCTCTCCCTCTCTCTCTCCCGCTCCTC